ATGCCACTGATTTCTGTGCATTGATTTTATATCCTGCCACTTTACTGAATTCCTGTATGAGTTCTAGCAGTTTTGGGGTGGAGTCTTTTGGGTTTTCCACATAAAGTATCATATCATCTGCAAAGAGTGAGAGTTTGACTTCTTCTTTGCCAATTCAGATGCCTTTGATTTCTTTTTGTTGTCTGATTGCTGTGGTTAGGACTTCTAGTACTATGTTGAATAGCAGTGGTGATAGTGGACATCCCTACCGTGTTCCTGACCTTAGGGGGAAAGCTCTCAGTTTTTCCCCATTGAGAATGATATTCGCTGTGGGTTTTTCATAGATGGTTTTTATGATATTGAGGTATGTACCCTCTATCCCTATACTCTGAAGAGTTTTGATCAAGAAAGGATGCTGTACTTTGTCAAATGCTTTTTCTGCATCTATTGAGAGGATCATATGGTTCTTGTTCTTTCTTTGATTAATGTATTGTATCACATTGATTTGTGGATGCTGAACCACCTTGCAGCCCAGGGATAAATCCCATTTGGTCGTGGTGAATAATCCTTTTAATGGACTGTTGGATCCTATTGGCTAGTATTTTCGTGAGAATTTTTGCATCCATGTTCATCAAGGATATTGGTCTGTAATTCTCCTTTTTGATGGGGTCTTTGTCTGGTTTGGGGATCAAGGTAATGCTGGCCTCATAAAATGAGTTTGGAAGTTTTCCATTTCTATTTTTTGGAACAGTTTCAGAAGAATAGGTATTAATTCTTCTTGAAATGTTTGGTAGAATTCCCCTGGGAAGCCATCCGGCCCTGGGCTTTTGTTTTTTGGGAGATTTTTGATGACTGCTTCAATTTCCTTAGTGGTTATAGGTCTGTTCAGGTTTTCTATTTCTTCCTGGTTCAGTTTTGGTAGTTGATACATCTCTAGGAATGCATCCATTTCTTCCAGATTATCTAATTTGCTGGCATAGAGTTGCTCACAATATGTTCTTATAATTGTTTGTATTTCTTTGGTGTTGGTTGTGATCACTCTTCTTTCATTCATGATTTTGTTGATTTGGATCATTTCTCTTTTCTTTTTGATAAGTCTGGCCAGGGGTTTATCAATCTTGTTAATTCTTTCAAAGAACCAGCTCCTAGTTTCATTGATCTGTTCTACTGTTCTTTTGGTTTCTATTTCATTGATTTCTGCTCTGATCTTTATGATTTCTCTTCTCCTGCTGGGTTGAGGCTTTATTTGCTGTTCTTTCTCCAGCTCCTTTAGGTGTAGGGTTAGGTTGTGTATTTTAGACCTTTCTTGTTTCTTGAGAAAGGCTTGCTATATACTTTCCTCTTAGGACTGCCTTTGCTGCATCCCAAAGACTTTGAACAGTTGTGTTTTCATTTTCATTTGTTTCCGTGAATTTTTTAAATTCTTCTTTAAGTTCCTGGTTGACACATTCATTCTTTAGTAGGATGCTCTTTAGCCTCCATGTATTTGAGTTCTTTCCAACTTTCCTCTTGTGATTGAGTTCTAGTTTCAAAGCATTGTGGTCTGAAAATATGCAGGGAATGATCCCAGTCTTTTGGTACTGGTTGAGACCTGATTTATGACCTAGGATGTGATCTATTCTGGAGAATGTTCCATGAGCACTAGAGAAGAATGTATATTCTGTTGCTTTGGGATGGAATGTTCTGAATATATCTGTGAAGTCCATTTGGTCCAGTGTGTCATTTAAAGTCTTTATTTCTTTGTTGATCTTTTGCTTAGATGATCTGTCCATTTCACTGAGGGGGGTGTTAAAGTCCCCTACTATTATTGTATTGTTGTCAAGTGTTTTTTTGCTTTTGTTATTAATTGGCTTATATAATTGGCTGCTCCCATGTTAGAAGCATAGATATTTACAATTGTTAGATCTTCTGGTTGGATAGACCCTTTAAGTAGGATATAGTGTCCTTCCTCATCTCTTATTATAGTCTTTGGTTTAAAATCTAATTTGTCTGATATAAGGATTGCCACCCCAGCTTTCTTTTGGTGTCCATTAGCATGGTAAATGGTTTTCCACCCCTCACTTTCAATGTGGGGGTGTCTTTGGGTCTAAAATGAGTCTCTTGCCGACAGCATATCGATGGGTCTTGTTTTTTTAGCCAATCTGATACCCTGTGTCTTTTGATTGGGGCATTTAACCCATTTACATTCAGGGTAACTATTGAAAGATATGAATTTATTGCCATTGTAGTGCCTGTAAGGTCTGTTACTGTATATTGTCTCTGTTCCTTTCTGGTCTCTGTTACTTTGAGGCTCTCTCTTTGCTTAGAGGACCCCTTTCAATATTTCTTGTAGGGCTGGTTTGGTGTTTGCAAATTCTTTTAGTTTTTGTCTGTCCTGGAAACTTTTTATCTCTCCTTCTATTATCAATGACAGCCTAACTTGATAGAGTATTCTTGGCTGCATATTTTTCTCATTTAGTGCTCTGAATATATCATGCCAGTCCTTTCTGGCCTGCCAAGTCTCTGTGGATAGGCCTGTTGCCAATCTAATGTTTCTACCATTGTAGGTTACAGATCTCTTATCCCGAGCTGCTTTCAGGATTTTCTCTTTGTCTCTGAGACTCCTAAGTTTTACTATTAGATGTCAGGGTGTTGACCGATTTTTATTGATTTTGAGGGGAGTTCTCTGTGCCTCCTGGATTTTGATGCCTGTTTCCTTCCCCAAATTAGGGAAGTTCTCCACTATAATTTGCTCCAAGATACCTTCTGCCCCTCTCTCTCTTTCTTCTTCTTCTTGGATCCCAATTATTGTAATATTGTTTTGTCTTATGGTATCACTTACCTCTCTCTCAAATTCTGCCCTCGTGATCCAGTAGTTGTTTATCTCTCTTTTTCTCAGCTTCTTTATTTTCCATCATTTGGTCTTCTATATCACTAATTCTCTCTTCTGCCTCATTTATCCTAGCAGTTAGAGCCTCCATTTTTTATTGCACTTCATTAATAGCTTTTTTTATTTCGACTTGGTTAGATTTTAGTTCTTTTATTTCTCCAGAAAGGGTTTCTCTAATATCTTCCATGCTTTTTTCAAGACCAGCTAGTATCTTTAAAATTGTCATTCTGAACTCTAGTTCCGACATCTTACTAAAGCCTGTATTTATTAGGTCCCTGGCAGTTGGTACTGCCTCTTGTTCTTTTTTTTGAGGTGATTTTTTCCATCTTGTCATTTTGTCCAGAGGACAACAGATGAATGAGAGAACAAAATGCTAACAGAGTAACAATGACCCCAGAAAAATATACACTAAACAAATCAGAAGAGACCTGAAACCAGGGGAAAAGAAAGGGAAAGAAAGAAAAAAGAAAAGAAAAAGAGAAAGAAAAAAAACAGAATGGCTGGTGCATAGATCAGTGCTACACATTAGATTTGGGGCATATTTTGGTCTGTTAGAAGAAGGTGCCTCCCAAAATTTTAAAGAAAGAAAAACTTATATATGTACAAAAATAAGGGTAAATACAATGAAGAGATGGAATATGACTGTAAAGATGAAAAGTATAAAAGATTTTATAAGAGGAGTTGATAAGAAGTTGGTTGAAAACAGAAAGAAGAGGATTAAAAAAGGGGGGGGAGAGAATGTGATCAGGCAGGAGACTAGAACAAAGCCATATACTAGATATTTAGGGTATATTTTGGTCTGTTAGAAGAAACTGTATCCCGGGGCACCTGGGTGGCTCAGTTGGTTAAGCAACTGCCTTCAGCTCAGGTCATGATCCTGGAGTCCCTGGATCGAGTCCCACATCGGGCTCCCTGCTTGGCAGGTAGTCTGCTTCTCCCTCTGACCCTCCCCCCTCTCATGTGTTCTCTCTCATTCTCTCTCTCTCAAATAAATAAATAAAATCTTTTTTAAAAAAAAGAAGAAACTGTATCCCAAAATTCTAAAGAGAGAACAACTTATATATATATACCAAAAATAAGGTTAACTACTATGAAGTGATAGAGTATGACTCTAAAAATGAAAAATAAAAAAGATTTTTTTAAAAAAGGGATTGATAAGATGTTGGTTGAAAAAGGGAAAAAGAAAAATTCAAAAAAAGGAAAAAAAGGAAAAGAAAATTAAAACAATTAACTTTGAAAAACTAAAGAATCATGGTAAAAAAGCCATGAATTCTATGTGCAATATTCCCCTAGCATTGGAGTTCTGCTGTTCTCATTGATGGGTAAACTTGGTCTTGGCTGGCTGTTCCTACTGATCTTCTGGGGGAGGGGCCTGTTACCGTGGTTCCCAAATGTCTTTGCCGGAGGCGGAATTGCCCCGCCCTTGCCAGGTCCGGGCTAAGTAATCTGCTTGGGTTTGCTCTCCGGAGCTTTTGTTCCCTGCGAGCTTTCCGTACAGCTTTGGAGGACGAGAGTGAAAATGGCAGCCTCCCAATCTCCGCCCCGGAGGAGCTGAGAACTCGGGGCCCCGCTCCTCAGTGCGCCCCCAGAGAAAAGCAGCCAATCACCCCCGTCTCCCCAGTCTCCGGCCGCACTCTGTGCTCACCCGGCCTGTGACCGAGCGTTTCTATCTCTGGCACACACCTCGTGTGGAGTCTCCAAACCCAGCAGATCCCCGCAGTGCACTCCCGCGCGGCTCCTCCTGGGGGAGGAAGGTGAGTCTCCCCGGATCTGCCGCTTGTGGGGTCCCTGCTGGAGGAGCAGGGGCCTGACTGTGCCGCGGATCACAGTTTATGGCCACCCCGAGCTAAGAGCCCGCGCCTGGGCTCCGCCTCTGCAGCCGGCTTCCCCGCTCCGATACCTGGGAGCTCTGCCGCCCTCAGGCACCCCCGGTCTTTCTGCGACCCCGAGGGTCCTGAGACCACACTGTCCCGGAGGGTTCCACCCCCCGCTTAGCCACCAGAGTGACGTCCCTCGGCGGAGCAGACTTTTAAAAGTTCCGATTTTGTGCTCCGTGGTTCTATCACTTGCCAGAAGCGGCCGACGGAGGCCCCCTCCCCCGCCGTCTATCCTCCCAAATATCACCTCAGATTCACTTCTCCGCACGTCCTACCTGCCAGAAAGTGGTCGCTTTTCTGTCCAGAGAGTTGGTGCTATTCTTTTCTTCTCTCTCCTGTTGAGTTCGTAGGTGTTCAGAATGGCTTGATCCCTATCCAGCCGAATTCCTGGGACCAGATGAAATCCAGGTCTCCTACTCCTCCGCCATCTTGCTCCTCCTCAGGAACAGGGTTTCTTTTTATCATGATGAAAATGTTCTAAAATTGATTGTGAGTATACTAAAAACCACTGATTAAAATGGTGAGTTGTATGGTGTGTCAATTATATCTCAATAAAGAATGTTATTTACAAAAAAAAAATATGATGTTAAATGCAATGAGCTTTATCTCAAAAGAGAATAGGGAGATAAAAACTAGTGAAATCTGAATAAAATCTGTAGACCGGTTAGTAGTAGTATAATGATATTGGTTTCTTAGCTTTAACAAATGTACCATGGCAATGTAAGTTGGTAACAATAGGAGAAACTGGGAAAGGGGTATGTAAGAATTCTCTGTAATATCTTCAAACTTGCTGTAAACCTAAATTTATTCCAAAATAAAAAGATTTTTTTAAATGTTAAACGAAGCAAAATACACAGAGGAAAAATACAATTTCACTGTAATAACATTCAAATTGCATTTACAAACATGAGAAACTACCATATATTGTTTGGGGACACAAGTTCAAAATAGGATATGAAAGTATTTGGGCATGATAAACACCAAAATCAGGATAGTGCTTACCTCTGAGCAGGAGGAGAGTGGAACAGAAAGTGGAAGACATCATAACACTTTCTTTTTTAATTAAAAAAATAAATCTGAAGCAAACAGGACAAAATATTAAGTTAAACCTGATGGTGTGGATTCAGGCATTTGTCATATTATTCTTTCTATGCCTTGATATGTTTGAAATATTCTCTTTTACGCAACTAATGAATCGTTAATTAAAACTCTATACTTAATAATAAAAAAATAAAAAAATAAAAGATAAATCCAAATTCCAAAAAAAAAAGAAATCTTCTCTTTTAGACAGTATGAATCAGGCAACATTTGAGAACATCTCATGCCTCAGGTAGTAGTGTTTATGGAGAGGAAAGGTAAGACAAATGATTGTATGTGATGAGGATTTGTGTAGGTAAGATAGCAGCACATCACTGCCAAGAATGGCTATTGACTCACAAGAAAAACACACAAATTTGCCATAATAGACCACTCGACTTTACAGTTAAGACTCTCACTGCCTAAAATCGCACATGCTCTGACCTTGGGCATGTCATCTAACCTCCCCTATCTCGGGTTCCTCTGTGGTCAAATGGAAATAATAATAATGTCTTTGACACTGTGTTGGGAGGATCTAATGACAGGATCCATGCAAATTAGTGGCTCTGTCACCCAGTGGACATTTGGCAATGTCTGGAGATGTTATTTTATTGCTACACATTGGGGGTGGGTGGGATGCTACCAGCAACCAGTGTGTAGAGGCCAGGCATGCTGAGGAACATCCTAAAATGCACAGGACAGCCTCCCAGAACAAAGAAGTATCCAGTCCCAAACATCAATCATGCCAAGGTGGAGAAACCCCAATGTAGAACATTTAACACAGTGCCTGGTGCATGGACTATATTCTATGTCGTTAGCTGCCATATGACCACCATCATTACTGCCCGAATATAATACCAGAAGAGACCCACACACAATGGTACCTGGATGTACCTTCTTTGGCCTTTTTAATAGGTGTTTAAATTGGCCCCGACACAGTCTGTACTACCGCTAGGATGACTAACTTTGACAAGCATGCCTTTAGAATATAAGAGGTGTCATCTTTCTCCTTTGCTTACAGCTCTGCTCTTCCCTTCCTCTCCACTGTCATTTTTTATTTCCACTTTGTAATTGCATTAATTAACCCTGGAAAGGGTTCTGGACGCCCATTGATAGAAAGGACGTTTGCTTTCAAAGATAAAGCTGTATCATTATCAAGCCTCCTCCATATAGCACAAGAAAACAGCCTTCGGAAAGAGCCGCTCTGGGAAAACAGCGGCAAATTATCCATTGTTAACCTTGGGCTGTCTTTAGAAAGAAAACATTTTAAAAGGAAAGAAAAGCAAAGACAAAGGGAAGAGTAGTCAGACAAGTTTTGTACCCACTACCAGGACCCAACATTTTAGCTGCTAAGCTAGTATATAGTAGGTCAATCAACAACATTGAACTGGTATGAGTGGGTACCAAAATCAATTTGCCCCACTACCTATAAAGAGAAGCCCTTATCTATAAAACAAACAAATCTTACAAGCAAAGTTGCCACCTCCAAAAAAAAAAAAAAAAGGCATTTTGGGCCATAAATGAAAGCAAAGACCTTTCTAATCTTAAGAGACTATTTCCATCTCTTGTTCTGTGCCTTCTCTCACAAACCACAACAGGGAGCATCCTGCAGGGCTTGTACCTATGAATTTTGATTAGATAATTTCCTACTGAGGTGGAGAAGTATTAATACACACTGGGTTTTAAAGACAAGCTAGGAGATCATGAGATCACCTGAGCATCAGCAACGCTATGAATTCTGTAACAAAATGGTTTTTCTATAGTAAGCAATCCACATCTTTCTTCCTTTTTTTGTTTCTAGAGCTGAGTGTAGCAGACGGTCCCTAAAAGGAGGTCAACTCTACCCCTAATCACCAGGAGAAAGAATTTCGCAAAAGTTTTCATATGTTTTTCACATGAGAGATATCTGACATACCTAGAAAAAGGAGTTCAGAAATTCAATTCATGAATGGAAAAACATAAAAAGGGGGTAGGGGAGGTATCTGAGTGAAGATGAGGCCAATCCCAAGGTGGAAATTCATCTATTTAATTGCAAGGTCTACATGTGTGCCTTTCCATCAGAGTTGAAGGGATCCTGGTGACCACAGAATGTTCCTTGGGATTCGTAGTCAAGATGGTCACCCAACAAAGCTAGTAAACTGATGTGGGGTTCTCTCCATTTCTGGGATGGCAGTAGAATGGAGTCCACACAACATGATCATTTGATGCCTGTATTCCTCCTTTTCCCCCTGATATTCTCAGCCCTCCTCTCATCTGATTCATCCTTCCTGACTCACAGGAAGCTTTCTGTAACCATCTTATCTGAAACCATCGAGCTCTGCCTCTCCCCAACATCCAGTACATTATTCTAAGTGATTATATTGGAACTTGATTATATTTGACTTAGCAGTTGCTTATCCACTGACCAATTTTGTTCTCTGATTCTTTCTTGTCAGTAAAACTTGTCTTCCCACACATTTCCAGGTCAAGGATTATCTCTATTTTTTTTTTCTTTTTATTCCCTAGAGCACATTGCTTCTTCCTAAAATGCTTAATAAACATTTGACAAATTGGATTCAATTAAATAAATCAGAAGTCACATGGCCTGGATGTATCCCCCATGATTCACTCATATTTGGCATATGTGTGGGCATGAGGGTATATAGATGTGTTTTGGGGGGGCGATAAAGGAGGAGATACAGGTTTTCAACTGGTGCCACAAACTCAGAAACTATCAGATTTCCATGCCAAAAATCTCTGCCATTAGGCCTCCTCCTCTGGAAATGAAGACATAATGACTGGTTATCAATGGGAGTCAAAAGAGAGTGTCGGTACCCAGAAGAGGGAGGAATTAAAGCAAGTTGCCTCCTCTTCTTCATCTCTTTCTTGAGCTCTTACTAGCTAAGTGCTTTTTTATTTTATTTTTTTTTTTTGCTGTGATAGACACAATAATAGACCCAAAAGATGTCTGCATCCTAATCCTCAGAAACTGTGAATATGTTATGTTACACAGTAAAGGGGAATTAAGGTTGCAGATGGAATTAAGGTTGCTTTTCAGATGACCTTAAGATAAGGAGATTATCTTGGAGTATCTGAGTGAGCCCAACATAATCACAGGGGTCCTTTAAAATAGACAAGGAGAAAAGAAGAGAAGTCAGAATCAGAGAGAGATTTGAAAATGCTATGCTGCTGGCTCTGAAGATGTGGAGGAAGGGGCCATAAGCCATGAAATGGGGGCTGGCTGGTAGAAGCTGAAAAAGGCAAAGAAACATTGTCCCCTAAAGCCTCCAAAAGGAACACAGTTCATGTGCCCTGCTTCCACCTTGATTTTAGCCCAGTGAAACCCATTTTGGGCTTCTGATTTTTACAACTAAAAGATAATAATTTCGTGTTGTTTTAGGCCACTAAATTTGTAGTAATTTGTGAAAGCAGCAGTAAGAAATTAGTACATTTGCTGGCCCATGAAACTCACCATGTCCCCATCTGAATTCAAGAAGGAGGTTGGATATATGCAAGGCCCCCTGGCCATCTGCATCAGAATCACCAGGGGAATTTGACTATAAAGATTATCCAAGGCCCACTTCAGACCTACTTAATCAGAACCACTGGAAGGTAGAAACCTGGAATGCCCCTCATGAGTCTTACGCACACTAAAGTCAGAAAACACCAGTGGTGGGAGTGCCTGAGAGACAGGAGACCTCCCCTAACTAGCCATGGGCCCCAGTCCCCTCACCTCCTGAGATCTCTGATTTTTCTTCACAGCTTGAATATGCTCGTCCACACTGTCTCTCCTGTCTCTTCTTAATACTCCTATTGTGCAAAGTTGCAATCGAATCCTTTCTTTTACACAAAGATGTTTTGGTGTTTGTTCATGGGGCCTCTTCCTAGCTATATTGTAAACTATAATTCCAAACCTAGCAAAACGTAGACCACAAACACATGAAAAGATGTTCAACATCACTAATCACTAGGGAAATGCAAATCAAATCCACAATGAGATACCACATCAAGTCCATTAGGACAACTATTATTTGGAAAGAAAGAGGGGTGGGGAGAAGAAGAGGAAGAGGAAGGGGAAGAGGAAGGAAGGAAGGAAGGAAGGAAGGAAGGAAGGAAAAAAAGAGAAAGGGGGAGGGAGGGAGGAAGGAAGAAAGAAAGTATGAGTGGTCAAATTCATAGAGACAGAAAGTAAAATGGCGGTCACCAGGGGCTGCAGAGAGAAGGGACTAGGGAGTCAGTGCTGGCTGGGGACCCGGTTTCAGTTTCACAGGAGGAAAAGAGTTCTGCGGATGGATGGTGGCAAGGGAGGCAAAACAGCGTGAATGCACTTAATGCCACTGAACTGTACACTTAAAATGGTTAAAATGGCAAATGTTATGCTTATATAGATTTTACCACAATTAAAAAAATGTTTTAATGTAGTCCCCCAAGAAAGA